ACGGCCGTTGAGGCAGATGTCGCATTATTGCGTTGACAGCATGGGGCTACGTAACTCGTGGTCCACTCCCTATGTGTCTTAAGGCCCGAGCAGGTCTTAAGATGGCTCCATCCATTGCATGTATTGCACCTAACCGAGGTGGAATTTGGATGGAGCCTTTTTGCGCATACGCAGCAGTAGAATACCTCGGGGCCCGGGTTGGACTCGATGCCAGCACGGGTCAGGAGGATACGGAGCAACCCTGCTGCTAGGCGTTGCTCCAGTGACGACAAACTTTATCTAAATCTTACCGATCCAAACAGGGTTAGATCGTCGAAATAACAGCCCTTGGCCGGATAAAATCCGGGTCAATTCCGGTATCGCAGAACCGGCTGTTGTGGGAATTGCCACGGTCTCGGCTACGGTCGCTATATTTTCCAGCACGCAGTGACGTGGTCTATTCGTTCGAATACGATATTATCCAATGATGAATATCATGACAGCTTGACAGGATTCACGCGTGATCTGTCAAAAAAGGCTATTGAAAAATGTACCTCTACTTGGATCATCCGTTAGTTGGATTTTGTACGTATTTCTCCATTCATTTTTTTCGTTTCTGAATTTTTAGTTTAATTATTTAAGGGTTTTGTAGAATCTGATAGTTGTCGAAATCAAAATTGAAAGTTAAGAAAATAATTTATTTTATTGTTGCGAATTAACGTGTCTCCAATTTAATAGCGGTAAAAATCCAGATATTTTAAGAGGATTTAAAAAACTTAATTTAACATCATGACAAATGCATCTTTATGCAGGCAATATAAATCCGTAAAGTAAGCAAGTAAGTACATACAAGCTTACAAGTGCAATGCAATCTAAATTGCACTCCTCGGACATCAGGTGGATTACTGTTCTCAATTATATCTGCCAAAATAATTTGTTTCTATTTTCTAATTTATTTTGCAAACAGATATATCCCATAATAACCAAATATTTTTTTAACCCGTAAAATGTTGTATATAGTGGCGAGCAATACTGGTCAGATGCTGAAGTAATCTTTAGTAATGGCAAAAGTGAATGCAATCAGTACAGGTATTTCCGTAGCCCCAATATACGCTATTTTTATTTTGATTTTTCATCTGACTTCAATCCGTTTATGTTTGATAATGAATGATAGAACAGAGTGTGTACAGAATACATCAGTATCTGCTGCTTCGTTAAATATGATAGTTAATTTTGTATTTGGTGCTGGAAAAAAATTGCATCAATTGATCTCTGGTACTTAATAGGGATCTCATCCGAAATACCGATATTAAGTGAGCCTTAAGATTCAAATACATTAATAGGGAACATATGTTGTGAACGAGCCTTAATTTTTGTTTGGTTGGCATGACATCAGTCAGTCATTAAACAAACAACATCATCTTTTTTCTTTGTGTTGGGAATGTCAAATTTTTACCGGAAAGTGATTTGCGGAAAGCATTAATTTTTTTAAGAAAAGTACTGCAGAGTCGCATCGAATGCTTGTCGAAGCAACATGCAAAAGATGGTTTCAACGGTTCAGAGATAATGATTTGGATGTGAGAAATGATGAACGTGGAAGACCACCAAAAAAGTTTGAAGACGCCAAACTGCAAGCAATATTGGATCAAGATGATACTTTGAGTCAAAAGTAAATGGCAGCCATGTTAAATGTTGCACATCAAACAACTTCAGACCATTTGTAAACTATGGGAAAGATCCAAAAGTGTGGAAATTGAGTGCCACATGAATTGAATGAAACACGAATGGAAAACAGAAAAACACTCGTGAAATTTTGTTTCAAAGACACGAAAGATAGGTTTGCATCGAATTGTCACTGACGATGAAAAATGGATTTATGTTTAGAATCCTTTACGGAGAAAATCATTGGTTAATCCATCAACGTCGACCGCAAAAAAAGATCGATTCGGTTGAAAGGCAATGCTCTGTGTTTGGTGGGATCAGAAGGGTGTGGTATATCACAACTGAAACTGCTGTATTCACCAGACTTGGTATCTTCCGATTATCATTTGTTTTTATCGATAGGACACGCATTGGCTGAGCAGCACTTCGATTCCTTCGCAGAAGTCGAATATTAGGAGTCTGGTTTTTTTGCTATTAACATGTTATTCACAAATTGCCAGAAGGGTAGTCAAAATGTGTAAAAAGCAATGGTCAATACTTTGAATAATTTTTTTACTTTCCCATTCAAATTGTATATATTTTATACCGGTACACCTGGTATTTGCTGCAATTACTGGAGAACATACAACATTTTGAATCCCTTTTACAGATGTATGTATACTACTTACCTCCTTTGGGCTGAAGGAACCACCCCCATTTCCAGAAATTGAAGTTGAATTGCAAATTTAAAATCGGACCAAACCTTTAAATGAACCAATAGTATAAAGGCGTGATAAATTTTTGTATTTTCGATCTTTATGAAAATCACTTAAATATGTACTTCAAAATGATTTTGTTGGTGTTTTTGTCTTTGTCTCTAAATAAAATGTTCATATAAATATTTACAAATACGTCAACGGGTAGATTTCGACATATATTCTCGATTTTACGGCTTCAATGATTTTGAAATTATTAAAGGGTAATCCATTTCGAGGTTCTCTACTTAAAAACAGAAAATTCTAATTTAATGGGGAATGTTTATTATCATTCGGAAGATCATTATTTGGTATTTATTTTTTTAAAGATTATCTATTTCAAATCTAGGCCGCGGCTACGTCTCAGATGTTCCATCCGTTGAGTCCAATTTTCGATGGCTCGTTCGAGCATTTCGACTGGTAACTGGCGAATGATACGCGTGATGTTTTGCTCCAAGGCCTAAATCGAAGTGGGATTGTCCGCATAGATTTTAGACTTAACATATCTCCACAGGAAAAAGTCTAACGGTGTGATATCACACGATCTTGATGGCCAATTGACCGGCCCAAATGAAATTTTCTGCTCACCGAAGTGTTCTCTCAATAAACCCATTAATTGATGCGATGTGTCGGAAGTGGCGCCGCCTCCATTTACGGTTACGTTCTCACCGGCATAATTTTTGAAAAAATATGAACCGATGATTTCTCCGGCCCACAAACCACACCAAACCGTTGTTTTCTCTGGATGAAATGGCAGCTCTTGAATCTCTTCAGGTAGCCAGAAATGGGCCAAATCGTCGCTGAACAAAATTTGGCCCGAAAACGTTGGATCTTCTTGCAACTTTTCAAGAACCCACAGAGCGAAGTGATGTCGCTTGGGAAGGTCGAGCGGCTTCAGCTCTTGCAAAAGCCGTATTTTGTACGCTTTTAATTTAAGATCTCGACGTAAAATGCGCCAAGTCGTTCCATACGGCAATACGAGTTGCTGCGAACGGCGCTGAATCGACTTTCCACAGTATTCGTTGTTGTTGTTGTTGTAGCGACAGAATTCTGCCGCCACGGTCTTCGTGTACGGTCGCTATATTTTCCAGCACGCAGTGACGTGGTCTATTCGTTCGAATACGATATTATCCAATGATGAATATCATGACAGCTTGACAGGATTCACGCGTGATCTGTCAAAAAAGGCTATTGAAAAATGTAGGTCTACTTGGGTCATCCGTTAGTTGGATTTTGTACTTATTTCTCCATTCATTTTTTTCGTTTTTGAATTTTTAGTTTAATTATTTAAGGGTTTTGTAGAATCTGATAGTTGTCGAAATCAAAATTGAAAGTTAAGAAAATAATTTATTTTATTGTTGCGAATTAACGTGTCTCCATTTCCATAGCGGTAAAAATCCAGATATTTTAAGAGGATTTAAAAAACTTAATTTAACATCATGACAAATGCATCTTTATTCAGGCAATATAAATCCGTAAAGTAAGCAAGTAAATACATACAAGCTTACAAGTAAATGCAATCTAAATTGCACTCCCTCGGACATCAGGTGGATTACTGTTCTCAATTATATCTGCCAAAATAATTTGTTTCTATTTTCTAATTTATTTTTCAAACAGATATATCCCATAATAAACAAATATTTTTTTAACCCGTAAAATGTTGTATATAGTGGCAAGCAATACTGGTCGGATGTTTGATAAAATTCAATGTAAGATTCTACAAAAGTCAATAATTATTCAACTTGCTTGAAATTTTTCATTTTAAATGTTGATTTATTTCTTTAAACGTAAAGTAAAACAAAAAATTATAAAAGGCAACATAGTTTTTAGTTTAGTTTGGCATTTATAAGTATCGTACTAAATAGCGCAGTTCGAACATTGTCATTTAACTCTGGTATTTTTTGTAGGAATTGCATTTTGGAAAAATGAAGAAAATGTCTAAGAATTTGGGAAATCGTATCGTTTTGTTTTATCAAATTAAAACAAACCGCCAGCGAAATTGGAAAAATAAGCGGTGTGACTAAAACAAGTCATTTTAGTTCAGAATAGAAGTAATTTAGCACCTTCTGGCAACTTGGCGGTCGACCAAGGATATTGAATGACAATGATACTCGTTATATGAAACGTTGATTTGTAGAAACTCTAAATTAACCCCTAAGGACTACTCAAGTCATTAACAAGTCAGTCAAAAAGTGGACAGCCAAAGGAACATTGAAAGCGTTGAATTTTGAGAAACACACGACCGAGCAATACTGGTCAGTATATATATATTGTTTTAAATAAGTATCCTACCTGCTTTCTAATACCATTAAGAATATGTGTACAAAGTTTTATAATGGTCGGTTAAGTAGTTTTGGTCTGAAAGCCTAACAAACTTATATTCACATTTATAATATTACTAGTTAACTTAACGGTGGCCGAAACTATTAGATTATAATTTGTTCGAGTTAGAAAGCAGAATGTCATTCTTTGACTTCTTTGTAACACTGCTGTCGTGATTGCCATCTCGAACGCACCTACATATATTTATCTGGAGAACCTTCTCCATCAGTGCATATTTATATTAACCACGGATTCGGTGGTTCCTATTCTAAATGTATCGATATCACTCCTGTCGAATAGCTCTCTACTTTTTCCGCTCGAAAACCAAAATCATTCTGAACAAATACAACCACTCTCATATAGCTTCAAACATATTAAAAACAAGAAAAAAAACCCTGTCCTTTACAGGTACATTTTTTTATAGCATAGAGCAGGGTAGGCGAACCAATGGCACGCGACACAATATTTTGGGCACGTCGCAGAATTAGGTATTTTAAGACGATCGAACGCGATGCTACTACGCTGCGGAGTGTTCGGTGCGCGGGGTAGGGGCAGCGCGGCGGCAGGCAGGAAGCGCTGCACGGCGCTAGTTTGTTTTGTTTTTATAATGCCGTGGGTTTCAATTGCGAATGACGCATTGGTTGCTTACGCATAAAGTAATAGTGAGTTTTGTTGACATAATTGTATTGTAAAGTTTATTCGAGTGATTTTAAACTGATATTAAATATTTTTCTTATTATTATTAAATTTTAGTATGGCCAGCTCAGCAAAAAAAACAAAAAGTTCATGATACTAAGTTTAACAGAGAATTTCAAACTTGGTGGACTGAGAAATATGGCATGATTAGTAAAGATGACAAAGCGGTGTGTGTTTTATGTTCTGGAACAGTGGTATAATATGTAGAACATCGTCTGTTAAACGACATTTTGAAACAAATCTTAAATCTGTTAGTCAAAAAAGCGAGGCAGAGCAAAAAAAATTAATTGCAAGTGCATTGAATGACAGAAATAAACAGTCAACGTCTATGATTAAATTTGTTGGCAAAAATTGTAATACAAGCGCGGCAAGTTACGCGGCTGCAAATGTCATTGCTCGGCATGGTAAACCTTTTCAAGAAGGTGAGTTTTTGAAGGAAGCCTGGTTAGCATGCGCGCCCTCTCTTTTTGAAGATTTCGACAATAAAGATAAGATAATTCAGCACATCAAAGATACTCCTCTATCAAGAAACACAATAAAAGAAAGAATCTTAAAACTGGCCGAAAATATAACAGATCAACAAAAAATTGACATTAAAGATGCTTCTTTTATATCGCTATGTCTTGACGAAAGCACTGACGTCACTAAATCTGCACGTTTAGCTGTTTTTGCTCGGTATTGCGTAGAAAACGTCATTAAGGAAGAATTAATTGCAATAAAATCGTTGCTAACAACTACAAAGGGAACAGATATAAGTACGGCAGTTAAAAATTCGCTTGCTGAAAAAGAAATTGATATAAAAAAATTGTTTCTTTAACAACTGATGGTGCTCCAAGTATGGTGGGTAAAAAAAATGGTTTCATAAGTTTATTTCAAGCTGACGTAAGACATTCGATTCTTGAATTCCACTGCATCATTCACCAACAAGTCTTGTGTGCTAAGAGTGGTTTAATATCCCTTGATAATGTAATGGCGGTAGTTACAAAAATAGTCAACCTCATCTCGTCAAAGGCTTTAAACAAGCGAAAATTCGATGCTTTGTTGGACAAAGTCAACTCGGTGTATAATGGCTTACTGATGTATAATAGTGTTCGCTGGTTGAGTCGCGGGAATGTACTTGAAAGATTTGTTGATTGCTTGGAAGAAATCAGACTGTTTTTGCAAAATATTATCACAAGAAACTACAAGTATTTTCCAAACTTGAAAAAATATATGAATGATTTAGATATTCACGACGGCAGACAAAGAAAAAACTACTGAAGAATTTATTTCTGTTATCGATTCTTTAATCAAGGAATTTTTAGGGAGATTTTCTCAGTTCAAAGAATTGTCGGAAATACTCAAGTTCATTATGTACCCAGATGTGACGCCATTTCATAAACTGAACTTCTCTCAATTTGATTGGTTGGAAATTGAAGAATTTGAAATGCAGCTGATTGATTTCCAATCTAGTTCAATATGGATTCAAAAATATATTGAAACAAGGAAAGAGTTGAAACTGGAAATTCTGGAAACATGGAATGCGTTACCAGACACATTTAACTGTTTGAAGAAGCTGGCTCATGCTATTTTAACCATGTTTTCATCTACATATGACAGATGAATCTAGTTCAGCATGCATTTTGCTAAAAGTAACATCTTACAGCCTTAACATAAATTATTTGTCATCTAACCTGCAGCAACAGAAGTCACACTAATTTTACTGAAATTTAATATAAACATACCAAAATGTACCTCTTTTGCTTACTTTATTTAATAGAGTTTTGATAGTATTTATAATTATTATTTTCCCAATAATCAGAAAATCAAAATTATTTGATGGCACGCGAATGACCCCATTAAATTTTTTTTTAGAAAAAATGGCACGTTGATGCATAAAGGTTCGCCTACCCTGGCATAGGGTATAAAAATATATTCATCTCGATTTTGATCAGTCAGTTTATAGGGCAGCTATGTATATGCTATGGTGGTTCGATAGCGGCGGTTCCGAAAAATGAGCACCGTCTTGGTGATAAAATGATGTGTGCATAATTTCTTGTCGATATCTCAAAAACAGTCCTTCAGTTCGTATATATACAGACGGACGGACAGACGGACATTGCTAATTTGGCCGCATAAAAAATCCGGGTCCGTTCCGGTTACTTAGACCCGACTGTCGTGGGAACGGAGGGTAGTTGTAGTCTCCGACATTTTCTTCTGAATGTAACAAACATCGTGGCAAACTTAATATACCTTGTCCAGGGTGTAAAAGTATAAATGATCCCTCTTTTTACTTGCTTTATTCATGCATACTTTTTGTTTAAGAATTATGGTAAGAGAATTAACATTTGGATTCTATACTTTCATCTTAATTCATATAAATACATATGTAAAAAATTTGATTTTTATATTTGTTTTATTTACTGTCGCTTTATTTTTTCGTATGAAATTATTCCAAAATAGATTTTATAGAAGATATTTTTACTGCTTTAATGATTTTATTATTTATTATTATATTATTACTTTTATTATTATGGATTATTTCTAGTACCCGCAAGTAATCAGATAATCTCCAAGCTTCTCTACAACGGATGCGGCTTGTTGAGGTTGAACAGGATCCTCATAAATAGAAACAATCACGGCTAAAAAAAAAAAGATATAATAATTGTATAACCTTTTAAAGTGGCTTGAAGAACCTTTAACAACATATGCTCAGTATACTTATTTGAGTGAATTAATGAGATTTTATGAATGCATTTTCCCAATTAAGCATATTTTCAAAGAGAAAAGATTTGTTAGGATCGCGGAGCTTAAATTTATTTTTTTATCAGCGACAGACATCAAATGTTTAATACAAGTTAAGTATATTTGCTCCGAATATAGATAAATTTTGTGTGTTGGGACAAATTAAACACGATTCATATATAAGTATAATGGGATGTTGGACATCACCACCACCAATAAAAGAATTAAAGTGTGAGACACTTATTATTAGATTTTAAAAACTTTAGAAGCAGTACAATTTTAGTATATTATGTATCACGTACTTCTTTTCTTTTTTAATGCGAAATATGTAATAGGTTGCGAATTTCCATAAAATCAGGAGTGGCTTAATTTGAATATATAATTTTTTCTGGAACGTAGATATTTTTGTAAAATTCAAACCTTTGGAATTATTTACATTTTTTTCATTAAGTTGAATGTACATGTAACCAAATTGGGAAGAAAAGTTATTACCTTGTGTAGTTTTCATGCAATGCACTCCGCTGCGGCCCAACTTAGCGCGGACTACACGGTCTGTACCAGAAAGATAAATGTACCTTTGACCAGCTAATGTAACACCATTGCTTGTGAGCAGGTCTTGCTGATCAAATCCAGCGATTAATTTCGCCAATTCTTCTTTTGTTACCTGAAAATATAAACAAAATAACATTCAATCTCCTCAAATTAAAACAAATCATAAAAATAGGACTGGAATATTTTTCTAGTTAAATAACAACAATAAATTAAAAATATCGACCTTTGTCACCATTAGAAATATTAAAATAGCTACAGTGAATATATAATGCATACACTAAAGATTTAAAGAACAAAGCAAGTTGTCAGAGTTAAATATATTTGTTTAACTAAAGGTTGTATGTAACACATAATACTAAACGAAAAAAAAAATATTAATTTCCTTTTACTAATCAGTGCTGGGGTAAATTTTAGAATAGCATCCCCTAAATTTGAGGTTAAAATGTACATACCCGAATAGAGGAGGTTCTCCAGATTAAGAAAATATATATGTTTATATATAGTTGCCGTTGACTTATGGTTTTTGAGATATTTGCATTTAAAGTTCAAAAATTCAACTATTTAAACTTCTTTTATAATGAATTTTACACTTATATTTTTAATTTTTGTATCCACTAACACTTCCATAATAATAAATAACTAATTCAATATTTAACTTTTGTTCAATTCTTTTTAATTAGTGTTTCCTTATCTACAAACTTTACAAAGGAACCAAAAGGAATAAAGACAATAGATAATACCTCAATGGCGGGAAATATGTAAATAGCCATTATTAGTTTTTCGACTAGAATTCCTTTCTACATTGGCGGTCTTCGGTCGCGCTTCAAAAAAATAACCCTAAAACTCTTTTTTTTTGCGTTGGCGCTTAAAAAATATTAACCTGTTCGGTCCGACAACGAGGTGTCCTTAGTTCTTTCGCGTAGAACTCCTTTTTGTGTTGGCGGCCTTCGGCTTTCAAGAAAAAAAGAATAACCGATCCAACACCGTGATTTACCAACAGAAAGCAAATTCTGAAAAAGTTTGCGGTACTCATCACATGATAATGAATTTTGTATTGACGGTATAATTCTTCTTATTTTATTTATTTTTATTCGTTTACAAAATATGGTAACACTTATTTTTTGTTTTCATGCAACCATTTTGTTTTTGTATGAATAAATGGATTTGAAATAAAGTTAAATATTGAATTAAAATTAGTTTTGCACTATTTAATACAAAACAAATGTGTTGAAACGATTTGGTGAAGTGTTAATGGATATAAAAGTTAAAAATATAAGTGTAAAAATCATCTATCATCTATCCATACATACCCATTTTAAGACCGAATTCGGGGTTTAATTTTTCAAAAAAAAATCGTTTTTTTTATTTTTTTTTATAAATATGCATTTAAAGTAAAAAATTGTGATACATTTAAATTAATTGTTTTATTTTTTTTCCTTGAAAAAATCACATATTGTTAAATTTTTTTGGTGTATTGTACGTTTCTGAAACTTTATATTAAAATATCAATGTTAGTGCACTTTTATTGTGATATTAATAATTACACATACTCTGCATCGTGATGAAAATTATCATTGAGGTTGAGAGCAGCGAAAAGGAGTTTGACGCGATTGAATTATGAACACCCCGGTTTTGGCCCGACCAGGGTTATTTTTTTGAAGCGCTGCCGAAGGCCGCCAGTGCAGATAGGAGTTTGACGCGATTAAATTATGAACACCCCGGTTTTGGACCGACAAGGGTTATTTTTTTTAAGCGCGGCCGAAGGCCGCCAGTGCGAAAAGCAGTTCGAGGATCTCCGATATTCGCCCATACCATCACATCGCGGCGCAAAAGAAATTGTGACTGTTACATTTCTTCAGTATATTTTTTTCATAAGAAAATGTTTAACACGCTGAACTGGTAATTACAGCTAAGTGATCTGAATTCTACAGAATTTTGCCGCTACAACAACAACAACCAAGTGACTTGAATATGTGATATGTATGTGCAAAGTGTGTTAAATAAATTTTGAAATATATACATAAATTATTGAAAAAAATTCACTTTCCGCTCACGGATTTGTAATCTACGCGTAAAAATAAGACGATTTAAAAAAATTTAATTTTTAAGGGCTTCCTTAGTTGGGGGACCTAAACTATACATTTACCGAAACGATTTTCAATAAAAAAAAATAAACAAGAGAATAAAGATTTTACATATCCTAGTAATCCTTTTCTGTACAAAAAATAATAATAATAAACAGTAAACAGTAAGAAGTGTTCTTTATCTTTTATTCAACCCTTTAAGAATAAATAGATATTTTCATTAATTTAATAATTACGACATTTTTCGTTTTGTTCTTATGTTCATGTTTTAATTATAATAAAAAAAATGTTCAAAGTGTATTTGGCAGATCGAAATAATTTCAAACGTAATACATATATGGATAACCGCAACAATAAATAAAAACAACATCTACTACTTTTTAAGAATTTCAATATGAAAAAAATGACAAATTGCGTAGCAACGAACTGTTATGAAAAAGGACACAAAGCGTGAACGAGTCCGTGTGTGAACCGGCACTGTGTGTAACATGATTCAGGCATGGTAGACCTCCACCATGTAATGTTAAATGCTTAGACTGCGCTCAAACACGAAGGCTTTTGTTGACCAAGCTAGCTAGTTTGTTGGCGACGAGAAAAGACGAAGGGCAAAGAGTTGTTCGTGCTCGGGCAACACGCTTTGTATTCTTGTTCGTAACAGCTCGCTACTACGTAATTCGGTATTCTTTTCATTTTAAAATTCTTTCCATGGTACATATTTACATCTATACCCAGATATAAGAAAAAACACTCATAATATACGATGTGGTATAAATGTGTGCTGTATATAAAAGCGAAAGAAATAGGGAGTGTCACCACATGATTAAGTGCCGGTCACAAGAAGATAAGAAGAAAACTGAGAAATGCATACATCTGTCACAAAATGCGCGGAAATAACCCATGACGATATAAAGTTCTCATATAATACCACATACATTCATAAGGTTATACATATGCAAGATTATATACTAAAGACTTGAATTCTGATGACTCGTATGGATAAAACACACATAAATCACATTGTTAATAAAGCATTTTAAAAACACAATTATAAGTTTAACCTATGTTAATTATTTCATTCTTAATTTGAAAAGCTACCACAAAGGCATGTCGCCATACTTAACTCTCTATCTAAAAATTGCACGACATTTATAAATGTAAATATATACATACTATATATACAAGAACTAAAAAAAAACATTGAGAACGCATCTTTGCTTTCATATATGTATATACATATGTAAGTATGCAAGTAAAGAAGAAACCATGGTGTATAATATTTGATTTATCACAACACAGTTGTGCATACGAAAAAACTAAGCTAAGAACAACTCAAAAGCTTTTTGATTATCTGCATACATACACAATTAAAGCCGGCAAAATTGCGATAACAAAAAACTCAAAACTCTTAAAAATTAACTCAAAAAAAAAAAAGGAGTTCGAAATGGCAACGAATAATAACTGATACAGAAAAAATAAATAAATAACCAATATTGGGCATGGGCATTTGCGAAATTCACAAAACTAAGTTGTTCCACCTCAATTATTGCCTACATATAGACTTCAAAATCATTCATAACCTAAAATTCAAGCGATTTTAAAAAATATATAAGTGATATTAGTGAAAATCCTATATATAATATATACATTTATAAGAGTATAGTGTCGAAAACAGTGCATGTAAATGCGCTAGGAGACGAATATGGATAATATGGATAATATATATATATATATATATATACATGTGCTCGTATACAGAGAAATGTATGTATAAGGAGCTAAAATAAACAGAACAAGGGTGTTTATGCGACTAACTGTTACTCAAATACGTTCATATGTTTTCGTATGTATCTCGGTAAATTGATTTTCGCATCTACATTTTAACACCCTGTCTTCTACAACAGACCTTATATTTTATCTTGGGTCACACCCTTCCCATCTCTGTATATTTAATACATTATAATTTTTCTGAATTTGTTACGTATATGCTTTTTTGTTTAAAGCAATTAGATAATATAGTTCACACTAAACTTACCTCGAATCCCTTAGATTGAGCCCAAATATTGCCATCATGTCCAGCAATGCAAGCCTTTGTTACACAGTGCGAAGCCAAAAGTTGGTTATCCACATAATCTTGCCAGCTCATTTTAAGGTATTTGTTGTTGACTGTAATGGCTTTTTCTGATATTGAAATGTATTTTGTGTCAAGTTATTCCTTCTCTTATGTGTGACCTTTTATCAATTTATAAGATTTGCAATTTAACAAATACAACTGTGTTCCCAATTTTCTCCTTACCTGTAGTAGCGATACGTGTTGTTTTAAATTATTTTTAATCTAAAAACACAAAAAAAAGCAAAGAAACTTTTCATTCTTTTTGTCACATATACATACACTAATATCCAAATGTAAAAAATATGTCATATAGATGTGACGCTAATGATGCGCTACGTATGAAAATCATACACAAAATCACTATTTTTAAATTCTAAATAATTGCCACATATTTTACCCAAAATTCCATATTTTAATATTTAATATTAAAAAAAAATCCTTAAATAACAGAATAATTTCAAAATTCATATTTTAGGAATATGAAAACGTAATACTAAACCTGCCGTTTAAAACCCGTCCTTTTTTCTGAATTCCAGCCTTTTGAGGCTCTTAAATAAATGTAACCTTCCGGCGCGCTAACACTAACAAAAGACAATGAAAAGTCTAGAGATTTTTGCTGTTGCCATCGTTATGGATAGCCGACACCAAAGACCGAAGTGCCTTCGTTAACGTTACACTCCACTCAATTCATTCCAAGAATGGAAATGAGTGAACGGATATCAACTCATCTGGTGAGTCAGCGTAGTATTTTTTAACTCCGCTACCTATTCACAAAATTGTTGTATTATTTGACGTGTATTTTTAGTTTAGAAAATTTGGATTTCTCCAAGCTCTAACGAAAAATTTAAACCAATTCATTTATTCTTATACATTTTCAGAAAGCAAAGAAACTAATAACTTCGGCACGGACTTTATTTAGTATTCGCTCCCTAATAAATCTTAGTTAGACGCCTCTTCTAACTTACGAACCTTCACATAAAAATCTGCAACTCAAACTGTATTATTTTTTCTTAAAAATAATACAATTTGTTTATTTCTAATTTATAAGCGAATAATTTATTTAAAAAAAAACAAAGCGGCACAAAAACAAGCGTAACGAACACCAACTCACTTAAACACACTCCCACCAGTACGTTGCAAAGATTTATACTATGCCACAAATCTTCGTTTTTATTTTGACGTCGGCATTATCGTCTCGGCAAACAGTGTTGCAATGACAATAACAATCTGTCCACACGCGCATGTTAAACAACCTAATCCTTTTTATTTATGTATTTTCCCCAGATATTACGCGATCAAGAACTTTCTTTCAATGAGTTCTAAATGTATGCAAGTTTCGCTTATTTACTGCCACACCCTAACTTTTTGAACTTGAACGCCATCTTGTTCTCTTGACGATGGCATCATGAAAACATAGGTGATTATCAATTTGTTTGACAGTCGGGTCAACGTAACCGGAACGGATCCGGCCAAGGACTGTCAACTCGGCAGAATTCTGCCGTTGCAACAACAACATATCAATTTGTTTCGAGCTTACTTCACAGCTGTCAATTTTAATAAATTTTGACAAATAGTTTAAGTGATCAACTTAAAAGCAACGTGTAATTGCAGCTTTAAGTGCTGAACATATAAACGATGACAAGTGACAGGCAGCATCTGTCATATATAAAAACACACACGTTCTTATGGGCACAGTTATTTAGACAAAAGCACCACTTTACGGCAACAGGCTAGCATTTGTCGCTGTCACCAATTTACACAATTTCTAATTTTTTTGAAGACAAAAACAAAGGGCAGCTGTAGTGTTGCCACTAATATGTAAAATGTTAAATTATTCAAAGCTCTAACAAGTCTAACTTTATTTCACTAACACAAGCAAAAAACAAAACTGATATATCATTTGTGATAACCTATTTACTTATTTTTTGCATAAAAAAATTGCACCTTGGACAAAATATTTAAATTTCATTGAAGTGAAAGGTTTTAGTACGGCAACAACGAAATTCAGTGCAACAGACGACCTTTGCCTACAAAAAAATTTAGCTGTCGTTCCGTCGTCTCTGTGTTCAGAGCATTAAGCATTTAGTTATAGAAGGCGATATTTAATGTAACATTTATTTACTTAAGTGGCCTTGAGCATTGTATTCATTGTATAAGCCTACAAGTAACCAAAGAATCAGCTGTTTTCCTATGTGTGTGACACAGCTGAGATCACGTGATCGAATCTGCCTTTTTGAGACACAGAGATGTAAATAAAAGAAATGTAGTTTAACAACTTGTTTGTGTACATGTATTTGTAATTGAGAATGTTAAGGAAAACTTTGAAGAATATTTTTGAACCAAAAATTTATTGCATATATATCGTATTTCCTCACCACCTTTGAGGATGCAATGTAGGCGTGTTACCGATCTGTTTTGGGGTTTCAGTCCCCCAGGAGACCTATATTCATCTGTATAATTTAAACAGTTTTAAATCAAATTAATTGTCATACCAAATATAACAAGAAAAAATATATATATATAAAATCAGGTACACTTCATGGATAGTAATACCATTAATAATATAAGTCGAAATAATCATCTCAAACAGTAATATATCATAAATGAATCTGGTACAATTCATGAACAACATAATAATAATCCAAACAATGTACTAATTAGTAAATAATATTTACAAAAGATTCTAAATCACTCACAGCCATATACTTATTAAAGTTAAATTTAATCTTTAGGAATTTTAATTGTCGAAAAATATTTGGATATGAAATAAAAACATTCTTAAAGCTATGAATTTTAAAACATAACACGTCAACACATTTTAGCAGATTTGAGGCATTTGGAAGTTTTGGTAGTAGAATATTAGTATTGTGACGAACATGGATAATAGAACAAAATCGAATCAACGATAAACTGCCAGAAGCAACTAGTTAGCGAATTCGTAGTTGCCAGAATGTTCCAGAAGCAATGTTTTGTTACAGATTTACTATATAAGGGCTGCCGGATTGTGCAGCAAACACAGTTCTAGTTAGAGTGTTGTCGTGATAAGAGCAATTAAGCTATAAGCAAGAAGTTGTAAGCTCGAATAACGAGCAATAGGTGTTAAGTTGTTGGAATAAGAAATAAAGATAAGTGTGTCGCCATTAAATTGGGACTTTTATTTAACAATCCAGTTATCGAACTCAAGAGTGAGTAACAGGTAGACGATTTATCGAGAAATCCGTAACAGTATACAACCCGTATGAATTGTGACTTTAGTACTAGAATATTAGTAGGAAACCCGTACATGTGTGACATTTTTGCCTGAGTATTAGTGGTAATCTTAGGAACGGTTACCATTGAATAATCTTACAAGTAGTCAAAGAAACAGCTGTTTTCCTATGTGTGTGAAACAGCCGTGATCACCTGATCGAACATGCCTTTTTTTGACACAGAGTTTTAAATAAAAGGATATAGTTTAACAATTTGGTAATGAACATGTATTTGTAATGGAAATAATAATGAAAACTTTCAAGAATATTTTCGAAACAAAAGATTATTATATATTTATTGCTTTTCCTCACCACCTCTGAGGTTGCAATATAGGCGCGTTACCGATCTTTTTTGGGTGTTCGGTTCCCCAGGCGGCCTATATTCACTCATATAATATATACAGTTCTAAAACAATCTACTTTTCATAACAATTATAACTCGAAAAGATATATACATAAAATCAGGTACATGAATCAGGTTCATGAATATTAATTACATTAATAATATAACATTAACAATATAAGTTGAAATATTCAACTTGATTTAAACAAAAACGAAAATAAATATATAAAACTCAGGTACAATTCAATTATAAAATAATATATTTGATAAAATTGGAAACATTTAATAATATTTCAACACAATAAATATTAATTTAAATAATAATATGTAAATTTAATCTTTAGGAATTAAAACAATATAATATATAAAAATATTTGAATATGTAATAAAAACATTCTTAAAGTTATAAATTTTAAAACATAACACGGCAACACACTAGCAGATTTCTGTCATTTGGACGTTTTAGTAGCAGAATAATGGTTGGCAACCCGTACCAAGTGTGATTTTAGTAGAGAACTTTCGAGGCAACCCGTACCAAGTGGGATATTTTTGCGTGTGGATTGGCTACTTATAGATTTATACAATGCGGTTACTTGTATATTTATACAATGGCCTGGAGTAAAATAATTACGTGAAGTATTACATATGTGTGGGTGAAGTCTTGCCCGCAAACTTTCAAATCAACACGTTAATCATTATTTTATATTTGTACCATAGTGTATAAACCTACAATTAACAAAAGAATCAGATGTTTTAGAAAAATTTTACATAGCTGAGATCATCTGATCGAAATCTGCCTTTTTTGGACACAGAGAGTTAAATAAAAGAAATGTAGTATAATTTCTTTTGTGTGAAAAAGTTTTTGTAATGCAAAACTTTCAAGGATATTTTCGAAACAAAAGTTAATTGCATGTTTATTGTTTTTCCTCCCTACCTCAGAGGTTGCAATGTAGGTGCCAAGGTTACCAATTTTTTGAGGTGTTCTAAATTAATATACATGTAACAAATATAACTAGACATAAATAAATATATTAAATCATGTACACTTTAGGAATATTAATTACATTAACAATATAAGTAAAAACAATCAACTTGAAATTATTTAAACCAAAACTAAAATACAATAAATATAAAAAATCAGCTACAATTCAGGAACAACAATAATATTAATCAAAATAATCTACTAAGTAATAAAAGTTATTTACAAAATATTCTACTTCACCCACGGCAGGAATAGTGGTGGAGAAAAGGGTCCTATACCTGGTACACGAAAACACTTTAAAAACAAAAGCAAAAAGTTAGTAATAACCGTACAGACCTAATCGCAAAACTTCTCATCTCAAAATCATAGATCAAGGGAACTATGCAAATGCGGCTTTCGAGAGATAAACATTTTGACAAATATGAAGTAATTCAGACTGACAGACATACATATATATAAATTCCTACTCATTAAGGTAGACAAACCGACGTGATTACTATTTACACACTATAGAATGTTTGGGGGCAGCCCGTACCGTGTGTTCTTTTCCGTATGTGTAAGTAAAAAATTTATTATTGGTTACTTGTTAAGAACGATAATATACAAGATTACGACAAGAATTTACCGTTACTTTTTTCGCTTTAGGCTGTGACAATTGTTACAAAAACAAATTGCACTATGTCGCCAACTTGAGAGGTAATTCTTTTGAGTTGAGAAAAAGATGCATAGAACAAGATGTAAATTGTAAATAAACACGTAAACACTTTTGTTAATTCGTGAAATAAGCATAATTTATTAGTTTGAGGTGAAAGTTTTTTAGTGAAATGAATGAAAAAGCTTTCTGGATATAAAACTACATACCAGCGCAAGAATCAAGGTTGAAGATTCTGAGATCAGACTCGTTTTCTGACCTTAGGTTTGTAGGATTTCAAATAAAATTCTCAGCACTCAATAAAAGTAAAACCTTCAGAAATTCTAAGAACACTAACTGGGATTTATACAGGAAGATATTAACAGGGAATTTAACATGTGACTCACCCTCTGAACTAGAGAAGAAGACCGTCACACTTAAGAATATTCTCCTTTAAAGAATGCCCTCCAAGCAAAGCATGGTTCAAAGCCGACTTGATGGACCCGGGAGCTGGGATCATGTAAGCGTTGTGTTCAGGAGCTCTTCAAACAGACCAGGATAGCCGATGAGGAGCTTTGCTGGAGGAAATATACAGGTACCAAAGGAATATAAAAAAGAGATTCGCAAAGCCTAAAGGGAATCGTGGAAGACCTTCTGCGGCAAGTTAGAAAAGACAACAGAAGTAGCTAGGCTTAATAAACTACTTTCCAAGCACCTGACTACCCCTAAGCTAATACCCAAAAAATGCGGAGAGTAGACTGGTTGCAGTAAGGAATCACTGGGGGACCCAGTCAACACGCATTTTTTAGGATGTATGGAGGCTAAATTTTTAGGATTGCACTAAATACTCTAACTAAACCTGCTCTAAATGACGGATTTGCACCACGATTTAAATTATTATTTATTTTCAGTCTTTCCTTGGCACGATCAAAATACCATCCAATTCCTTCGACAGACAATTAAAAAACTAATCTTATGTTTAACTTATCCTTATATAGAAAAATAGTATGTAAGCGAACCGACGAAAGTAATAAAGTTGTTATTGCATACGGCATAATGGTCTGACTAAACAACAGTAGAATGGTATGATAGCCAAAACTAAAACGCATCATCTGATAAAGGTTATTCGTGTTGTTCTTTTGTACTATGCAATGGTCTGACCTAAACAACGGTAGATTGGGACTGCTTGCCATACCGAACGTCACTGTCTTAAGTTGATAGGTATACAAGATCATTAGAGCACTCCCTCCGAAGGATATGTTGCCATTTTCGTTGCCAGGAATCAAACATTACTTGTTGAAACATCTTTTTGATATCAGCTGGGAGAGCAACTGAGTACCGCCGAAATCAATGAAGTATGTCAGCCAGGTTTTCCTGTAGCTGTGGTCCACTTAGTTGCATCTCGTCAAGAGATACACCGTTGGTTATTTTAAACGATGCGTTAAGCTCTACTCTGAATATAGTCGTAACAGCATGGTGAGGGATATAATATCAGCTTCCCACGCCAACTGGCGAACTATCTATCGCCTCCATATGTCTCAATTTGATGTATTCCCTTATGAATTCTACGCATTTCTCTCTCAGTGCGTAGTCGTTTGCCAATATCCGCTCTAGTTTCAAAAATGGCCGAAGTGGCGCCGGATGTGAATTTCCAAGTGCAGATGCATTAGATCGAAACGGGATCTGTACAATATACTGACCATTCGGGAGTCGCACAAAAATGCAGCTTCCTCATATACAAGTGCCTGCATATTCTGCACTACATATGTTACATACATACATGTAAGTAAAAGAAAAAGCGCTTGTGGAGTTCCTAATGGAAAATAGAAGTAATTTTTATTTAAAAAAAAGTCAACGGCTCAAATTTCGATGGTCGGTTTATTGAAGAAAGGCAAGTGGTGGTAGGATGGAAAGTAGTGCGCGCAAAAGTTCGCAACATGCGCACTAGTTATAATAAAGCAAAGGCGTGGGATGGGTCGACAGATGCAGGAAGTATGGAAGGCGACAAAAAGTAAATTATTTTAATGAAATCTCATTTTTTTAGTTGTGACCATAATTTTTTCTTTTAATACTTTACACAAAATATGATTTTTCTATGAGGAGTTGGGTGATATTTTCGGCAGCAGATTGAATAGTTCTGCAGTAGTGGAAGACAGTTTGATGACCTTGATAAAAAGCAATTCGACAAGTCTATTGGATGTAGGATATGTGGTTGAAGCGGGCAGTTCCTGAAAAAAATGAAATTGCAAATGCAGAAGAGGTTGGCAATGGAGGAACTTAGACTTAAATATAAGTAATTTTAATATTTATTACATTTTTAGTTCAAATTTGTTATGAAGTAATTTTTTTTATGTTTTAAATGAAGTTTTTATGTTATTATAAATTTTGTTGTGATATTAATAGTTCTTAGTACCTTTTGAAATGTATATATGAAAATACAATACAATGAAAACCATGTTGCAATGAATGTACCTAACGCAAAATAAAAAAATTAGAATAAAAAATATAGTTAGATTTAATGAAGTATTTTTGTATATAACGAATCAAGTAATATCTCCTAATATTTCCTGATATTGAAGGAAATTGAGGCATCGAAACTTCATTGCTGTTTCCATTATCTGTTTCGAAATTTATTAACATGTTGTGAAGAACACAACACACCATATCCAGTCATTGCATTCATTCTTATTTGACGTTGAAAGCATTCTAAATTTAAGCTCCTTCAAGCTACCGAACTTATCTTTCAAAAGACCAAAACAATTCTCAATTCGTAAGCGGTATTTGGAAAAATACGCATTAAATGAATCCCTTTCTCTTGTATGTTCAACGCTGATTTGCCGGACGGGCGTTATTAAATATGGTTTCAGTGAATAGGCAGAATCTCCCGCGACTCACTTTGATGTCGATAAGAATTGTTCCGGATGTTTTGCGAGTGAACAATTTGAAAATATTTCCGCGTCATGTACACCACCTGGGTACCAATCGTTACTTGATTAATGCGCAATTTATAGTCGCAAATCGTTTGTATTTTTACAGAATATTGCGTTTACGCGAGTAAATTTCATGCTGCATAACTGAAGCTTCGGCAAATTTTATTTCGGAACCATCGATGTAGCCTACACACCCTGGCATTTCTTTGGCAGTTGCGGACGCAATCTTCAGCCTTTCTCTTTCATTGGGCCAGTATAAAAACTCATTTTTTAATCGCAATATGGCTTTAAAAATTCGTTGTATTACATTTTTAATAGTGCCTCTATCACTCACATAGAATAAGGAGGCCACTTTGCGCACAGATTGTCCATCGCCGGAAGATCCCAACCGATACAGCACTATTTTGAGTTGCAATTTGATTGGATGTTGTGTAGCATTTGAACTTGTTTTAAAAACAGCGTAATTTTTAATTAATTCTAAGATACGTTTGCATTCCTCCGAGCGAACACGAAGTATCTGATTGAATCTGAAGACATAAGACAAAGCTTGTAAATTGCCCATATGTATATATTTACTATAATTAAAAAGGTCAATTTATGTGTGTCTGGTTCTTTCAACTGCTGCTAACCAACTGAACTCTTTTGTTACCGCCGTTGGTTTGTTTTTGAAGTTTCTCATTAAACAGATCGTAACGTTGCTATCGGCTACACATTCAATATTTCAAGCGCTCTAAACGATTTAGGAACACTATCCACAAAATTTAGTAGCGTAGCTTGAGGTCGGATGGGTCGGTAAGTCTAGTTGATGCTCAACATGCTGCTCCGAAAGACTACGGTTTTTGTCTTAACGTTGTTTCAATTCAGCCCAGACTTCTTCATACCCACCTGTGTATAAGCAACCTTTTAATGGAACATTTTCCGCTCTCACATATTGTCGTAATTTTCCCAGTTTATAGGTGGGCTGTAAGACACTTCTGTTGTGAACAAGCGTATCAAACATATCCTTGAACGCTAACCAATTTGACAGCTGTCCGTCCAGGCTTGGAATTGAAACGGGATACAACCGCATGTCTGGTGCCTGACTGTACTCCTGTTTGGGGATCTCGCTAGATGCTGACATTTTACGTTTCAATTTGATGCAAATGTTGTTGAAAATCTCCTCCGTTAAAGCAAACAAATCGCCATCTACTTTAACAATGTGAACGTTATACCTCACAGGAGACACCAAAAATGTTTAGGATTGTACTTAACACTCAAACTAAACCAGCTATAAATGACGGATTTGCACTAAAATAAAACCACGATTTCAATTAATATTTATTTTCACTATTTCCTGTGTACGCTCCAAGTACCATCCAATTCCTTTGCCAGACGACTATAAAACTAATCGTATGCTTAAATTATGCTTATATAGAAAATTGCATGTAACCGAACCGACGAAAGTAACAAAGTAGAATGGTATGATATGCCAAAGCTAAAACGCATTACCTGATAATGGTAATTCTTGTTGCTCTTGTGTACTGCACAATGGTCTGACCCAAACAACGGTAGACATGAAGAAGCTAAAGAACGTCACCTGATAATGATGATGCCAGATTCGACAGCGTGTACCTGAAGAATGGTGATGCGAAATTGTACAGCATAGATCCATCAAATTAATGGAACTTATTATTAATCGTTAACACTACTAATTTCCAACTTGTAAGAAATAGCGTAGAGTGTGTCCCCTCCGGCCAAATACTTTGAATACTCAACTTCAAACTATTCAAATCCGCTGGTATGGACAGTATTTTCCCAGCCATGATTAAGAATATATGAACAGTGCTGGTACCATACGTGATGATAAGGATGTATATAAGGATGTTTAAGGCGGGCAAAGGAGTCCCCCTTTATTTGAAATAATATAGACCAATAAGCACTTCACTCGTATAGAGCTTTAGACCAACAGGAATATTCCCTGGGCATCTTTCTTGACATAAGCGGATCTTTTAATAATGTCTCAAATGGTGCTATCGTTAATAATCTGGAAACAGCCGAGATAGAGGCCGCCATCTCAACATGGATAAGAGCTTTACTAAGCTGCAGGAGTATTAACGCAGAATGTAACGAAGTCAGATTGCTCAGAGTAGCGCCAACAATAACTCCCCAGGGGGATGTACTGTGGTCACTTGTAGCAAATAAGCTTCTTGAAAAATTTAAAGGAATAGCACCCAAACTGATAGCCTATGCAGACGACATAGCCATACTAGTGAGGAACAGGTTCCTAGACACAATTAGTAGCGTTATGAATACCGCTCTAAAATTCATACACCAATGGGTAAATAGACCACATACCCTCAGCGGTATAGACCTCATGCGGAGCTAGACCTCAGGCGACCCATCAAGCTGCCGGAATACTGAAGTATCTTCCAGATGATAACACTTATAGAAAGTGCAGGGAAGTAGGCATGGAGGAGACGCTGGAATACCTCCTCCTCATGTGTCCGGCCTTATCTAGAACTTGGCTTAGATATCTAGGAGCTTCGCCATTAAGGGACTGGATGAAGTATCAGAATTAGATACCAAGTTTCTATTAAACCTCGCAACAAGCGTTGTCGTCCTGCACGAAATATACTTCAGCTCGTATTAATACACCTCGATCTGGCATTACAAAGGACCTGTGAGTCTATGTATGGCGTGGCAGCCAGCCAGTTAAACCTAACCTAAACTCTTCTATGGTAAATCATTATCAATTTCAATATACCGTCCCGTCAAGGATGTAATTTCTCATTGTAGCAGAATTTTTCCTAATCTTCCTGATCTGTGCTGGTATTGACTCCAAGCCGGGGCCATAGGAATTTTTCAGCTGCGTTTTGCGCCGATAGGCTGCATCCAAACTCAATGCATGGATGGAGCCATCTTAAGACCTGTTCATGTCTTAAAACACATCGGAATTGGAACACAAATTTTATGAGAGTGGAATTAACACCAAGTTTGCGCACTGAGCCCCCACTTGCAACGAGTGGCCAAGAAAGGACTTTACTGGTCCCCAGGAGCTCAACCCAGTCTTTGTCTGACGACGCATCTAGGTTTTTAGGAAGCCCATTGTGATACCATCGGGACTAATATCCCCTCACTCTATTGTCTTCCTTCTATGCCACCCGGTGCTTCTGATGATTATCAGCACAAAAAGTTTTATTTGTGCAACCTCTAAAATGTCGTCAAGGAACTCTCGACTGATAGTTGCGATTCTTTTCCTGTAAAGAGCCTTGCATACGCATAGAAGATGTTTTACCGGGAATTGGATTCCGTGGATTCCATTATAAAAATCATTCATCAAGGAAGTGCCAATCGTTATTCATAACCAGTGTAAAGGTGTTTCTTTTTATAATGAGTGAGCACAATGGGCTTTATTTTGCAAACAATGTCGCAATGATAAACTTAAATGAAAAAGAAAAAACGACAACGTGTATTGAACAAACAATGTTGAAAAATAACCAAAAAGAAATATTACGCTATACTAGATGACGATCTAGGAGAGTGCAATGAAACACTGCAAAAATTCGAACAACATTTTCGTTCCAATAATTTAAACAACGAATATGAACAAAGTGAAACTTGCAATATAACACAAAATAACCCATCAACAAGTGCAGCGGCAGCAATAACTCCAGCTGTCGTCTCTCACAAAAACAACACTGGTGAAGTTAATTCGAACCCAAACATCAAACAAAAAATGAACAGCAAAAACATTCCTCCAATAAACACATTCGCCATGAAATCAAAACGAATAATAGAACTAATAAAAGACGGTCTAAACATAACGCAATTAAAAATCAAAGAATATAACCAAAACAAATTAGCAATTTTTTTAACCAACATTTAAGACTATAAAAAAGTTCGAGGGTACTTAGAAAAATCAAAAGTAAAATTCTATTCTTACACGCCTAATACTATGTTCGCGCCGACACAAAATTCGTGTTTTCATAGACAAAAGAGGTTTTCACGCGAAAACTTGTGTTTTCATCCATACAAAATCTGTCAAACGAAAACACAGTTTTCGCTGAAAACCCCTTGAAAACTTACATTCCACTCATTATAATCGGTGCCTGCTTTAGTTTATTCGATATTATTAGAAGACATATTTTGCCAGCCCTAAATGTCAGTTGACAATTTGTTTACATTCCATAATTGGCCTAAACGTACCCTACAAGAAACTGCTGATGGGTTCACCAATACACTCACGTTGGATATGTCAGTACTGTTAATTTACATTTGCATTTTTAAATTCAGAACTATCCACTGATTGGAGAAAGACGTACGCAGAGCTATTAAGAGGAGGAGATGGCATCAAGTGAAAATTAATTTTTATATTTTCATATTTTATTATATTTTTTGTTGCATTCCTTTTTATATTTAAGCATATTATTATAACTAACTTTGATTAAAAGTTTGAAATTTATTAAAGAAATAGAAATTATATTATCTACTGCGCAAAAGAATTTTTCACTTCTGATAGCGTTTCAGTCATAACTGACAATTTTCAGCTATGACGGATTTATGGTCAGCAATGACTCAGAAAAAACAAAACAAACAAACAAAAAGAAAACAAGGAGCTTAAGAAAATGATAGAAACTTTGTTCTGCGCGCTGACAAAATTTTTTCAGCTATGACTGCCATATTACCCATCAGATGACCGTCACTGTTCTTGTAGGGTACATAACAAATGTAAACAAATAGATGTGTGAACTGTCAATGAAAACTCATCGAAAGCACACAATGTCGGTCAGAACGACTTTGGTTCCACAATCCACAAATTGTGTTTTCAAGAGGATTTCAATTCGGTGCGAACAAAGTATTAAGTAGTTAGTCATTAGTAAAAACAAAAACATATCTATTGAAAGGGCTTAACGGCAATACCGACCCCCAAACAATTTTTAATGAACTTTGCGCACATAAAAACGATAACCTAAAAATTCTTAGAGTTAACCAATTTACCAAAAAAACAAAATGTCCACGCAACGCAATATAAAACTACATATATTTATGGTTCAAACAAGTGCCGAAAGCATCGTTAACGAATTGAAAGCAATCAAGACTGTTTTATACTACTACTTTAAATGGGAACCCCTACGAAAAGTTGAGATTCCACAATGTAGAAACTGTCAAAGTTTCTTTCACAGCGCAACTAATTGTACTCTTCCAGCAAGATGTGTCAAATTTAGCGAAACACACAAAAGCAAAGATTGTTTCTCATTAAACGAAATGAAAAGGTGTATTGTATTTTATGCAAAAAATTTGGGCACCCAGCATCCTATAATAACTGTGAGCAGTATAAAGAGCTTTAACAAAAAATAAGATTAAAAAGCAAAACCTAATAGCTACGAAAAAAACACTAACCAAAATTTTACTAACTCTAATTTAAGTTATGCAAATGTCTGTAAACAAACAACTGGTGTATTTTGAGATACCAATAATCAAAGTTCTCAAAATCCATTATTCGAAGAACTATAAAATACAATGTTATCTTTAAGGAAACTATTAACAGTGCTGCAGAAGCAGTTGGAAATACAAACGTCAAGAGTTGATGTACTTTAGAATATAATAGATACAGCATGAACTCAGACCATACTATTACTATTACCCAATCCCAGTTAAACATAATTTCTTTTAATGTCTACTCGCTTATTAATATAAGCAGGAGAATAGAACAAAGTAAATTCTTATCCAATAATAATCCCGATATTGTTCTGTTGATCGAAACTGAACTTAAGAAAAGAATAGATTGTTAGGGTTGGGAGGGGGCGGAACCGCAATTCTAATTAGCGAAAATATAAAATACAAGAAAGTCTTTTACAACACATCGATGTCTTATTTATATTTAGAATCTTGTGTAATAAAAATACAAACATCATATATATAATTTCAGTCTATTACCCGCCAGGTAATAATAACGACACATTTAAATCTGAACTCAACACAATATTTGAATTCTTAAACTTACAAAACCCCAACCACTATTACATATGAGCTGGTCATCTCAACAGTAAACACACAGACTGGGGTAACCCACAAAACAACTCTAAGGTAAAGCCCTAAAAAACTGGCTCACCTTCAACAATTAAAGTTCAGATGTTTTTCCATTCTACGAAAGAGCTAATTCCTTTATAGATATTTGCATAGCTGATCACAGAATAGATATTCACAGAGCCAATAACACAGTTAACTGCTTGAGATGCATTGATTACAATAGCGATCACTGCGCTTTTCAAATCGTTGCGGCTAATAGAGACAACACAAATTATTTTACTTTGTAAGGTAACCCAATAAAAGGCACATTTGACAACAAAAAAACTAACTGGAAAAAATTTAAAAAAGATCTTAACATGCAACTGCAAAGTAAATCCCTTGTAGGTTAGGTTAGGTTATAAGGTCGATCCTAATAAGGATCAAACTTGGACTGTGGTACCCAAAACTCCTATGAGCTGGATCAATAGACCCTTAGTGCCGGGTTGTTTCCACCTCACCCTCCTCCATACAGCTTTGACAACTAACATCGGGTAGTATTCTAAGCCGCACCGCATGAGTTCTCATTGAACAGTGTCCAG